TAGGGACCTTATGATTTACAACCTGCTTTTACATATACTATACCTTTTTTAAAAAAATTTATTTTGGCTGCATTGAGTCTTCATTGCTGCATGCGGGCTTTCTCTAGTTGCGGCGAGCAGGGCTTACTCTTTGTTGCAGTGCGCAAACTTCTCATTGCGGTGGCTTCTCTTGTTGCGGAGCACGAGTTCTAGGCGCGTGGGCTCAGTAATTGTGGTGCACGGGCTTAGTTGCTCTGCCGCATGTGGGATCTCACCCGACCAGGGCTCGAAACCATGTTCCCTGCATTGGCAGGCAGATTCTTAACCACTGCACCACCAGGGAAGCCTACATATACTATAACTTCTAATCTGCTCAACAACTTTCAAAATTAGTTATAACTTAAATAATGTAACCTTTTTGTTAAAATCTCATATCTGTTTGTTTGTTTTGTTTTGTTTTGCTGCACGCGGGCCTCTCACTGTTGTGGCCTCTTCCGTTGCGGAGCACAGGCTCCGGACGCGCAGGCTCAACGGCCATGGCTCACGGGCCCAGCCGCTCTGCAGCATGTGGGATCTTCCCGGACCGGGGCATGAACCCGTGTCCCCTGCATCGGCAGGCGGACTCTCAACCACTGCGCCACCAGGGAAGCCCAAAATATCATATGTTTATTGCAGAAAGTTTAACAACCATTGAGAAATAAAAAGAATAAATTTTAAATGATCTATAATTCCATTATCAAGTGATAACTGTTGTTAAAACTTTAATGTTCCAGTCTTGTCTTTATACATATAAAGACATATGTTTTTATAAAAATGGAATCATGTTGCATGTAATCTGCTAACTTACAAAACAATGTATCATGAATATGTTTATGTGTCATTAAGTGTATTCCTCTTAAACCATGATCTTAATGCTTTTGTAATTGGACCTCTTTAAGAATCTAACGAAAGCTATACTCCCTAAGCCCCAAAAGAAGCAACTATGCAATTACACAATTAAAATTTATCAGTTAATAAATAGAGGACGATCCAGGATTTATGGGATTTGAAATTTATATGATTTTGGAGACCCTATTTTATTTTATTTTTTTGTTTTCAACTTTATTTTTTCTTAGGTTGCATGCTTGCTTTTAAAACATTTAAATAATGCAAAATTTATAAAATGGCAGTGCCTACCCCAACCTGGCCCCAAGTAATTCTAGTAAGTAGAATGGTATTTTCCCTTCTAGAACCCTATTTATGAAACTATAAACGCATAATAATTTCTGTAGTATTGATTTTGAAAAAATACAAATTTCTTCGTACAATCCATACAGTTCAACAACTTGCTTTTCTCATTTAACAATATATCAGACACTGAAGAATTTCTTAAATATGAGAAAGTGAATTTAATTTTGACTCCCCATTTCTAAATTTCAATCTAATTAATGATTAGCTGGTATGAAACTATTTCTTTAATGTTTTCAAATCAGTTAATTATTAGTCGTTTGGAGATGCTAAACAGTTTTATTACATAGAAATAAAGAGTACTTTTAGTGTTTGTGATTTCTGTTAAAAATTTATTATTTTGGTTATTAAGAACAAAACAAAACACTTGTCTAGATTGTAGGATTGAGAAACTGACATGAAAATGATGGGAAATTCCCTCCTTCTCACACTGTGGGGAGCCCTCTAAAAGGAAAAACACAAAATTATATATAAATGTATTTATTTAGAATGAGAAATTACAATATCTTGCTGGAGGCTTGAGATTCAGGTGTTTTTTATTTTATTTTATTTTATTTTGTGGTACGCGGGCCTCTTACTGTTGTGGCCTCTGCCGTTTCGGAGCACAGGCTCCGGACGCGCAGGCTCAGGGGCCATGGCCCACGGGCTCAGCTGCTCCGCGGCATGTGGGATCTTCCTGGACTGGGGCACGAACCTGTGTCCCCTGCATCAGCAGGCGGACCCTCAACCACTGCGCCACCAGGGAAGCCCCCTCAGGTGTTTTTTAAATGAGATCTGTTTAGGAATTTACCAGAAAGGCTACGTAGAAATCCTTCTTGATTGCAACTTGGCTTCCCCTTCATGCCTAGAATATTCTTTAACTCTCAGCAATTCAGCACTCACAGGCGCCTGCACAAGTGGGGGGCTATGAGAGATCTCTTCACTGCTCACTCCATTAGCCTCAAGGTAAATCCACAGCTGTTCATGAATGAAACCTTTTGGGCCCCAGGTTAAAAACTCTACCACATCATTTTTTTTTTTTTTTTTTTTTTTTTGCGGTACGCGGGCCTCTCACTGCTGTGGCCTCTCCCGCCGAGTAGCACAGGCTCCGACGTGCAGGCCCAGCGGCCATGGCTCACGGGCCCAGCCGCTCCGCGGCACGCAGGATCCTCCCGGACCGGGGCACGAACCCGCGTCCCCCGCATCGGCAGGCGGACCCTCAACCACTGCGCCACCAGGGAAGCCCTACCACATCATTTTTAATGGCTCCCTGGTCATCTATTGCATGGATGTACAATAATATGTTTATCCAGGTGCCTTCTCTTGAACACTTAAGACAGTTTATAATACCACTCTGGGATAATCATTCTTTTAGCTAAATCTCTGCCACTTCCCTGGTTATTTCCTTAGGATAAATTTCGTTAAGTGGATCAAAGTGTATGTCAAATTTTCAAATGTTAGATTTGGCAGGAATATTTAAGTTCATTTCACAAATGAAGAAAGTGAGAGTATAGTGGTCTACAGATAATGGATCGTTAAACTCAGTTTTTCTGACCCTGAATCATATATCATTTGATCTACCACCTGACCCCTGGAAACCATTTGCCACTGTAAAAGGGTTTTGCCCCCAGAACCACACCATTGTGTGAAATGCTGGGGGTTGCTTCCCAGCCTTGTCATGTTTGTTTAGGTTCAGCTCAGGTTGTTCTTGCTGCACTTCTGCTCTGTTTTTTTATGGGAAACCTTTTAGTTTGACACATAACAGCTGTTTAGGTATTTTGTTGAGCATTATCATTTGTTTAACTCCTCAGAAGATTTCAGGAGGATTGTGTCTGGCACATAGGAGGTGCTCAATAAATTGGTTGTTACAGCTCCAGAAGATTGGATATGTATCAGAAATTTCATGATTGAGCTTGTGCCTCTAACATTTATAGTTCCAGATGGAAATGACTGTAGACTTTGAGAAGACCACTATTATTCTAAACCTTATGGCTATAAAGTTTCGTGATAAAGTTTGTGGCATTTTTTCTATTTCTCTAATAAAGGTATGGAGGTAAGGAAATCATCAAAAGAGGAGAAAGAGATAGTTGGGCTACAACGCTCACCTTTCTCTCCCAGTCTAGTCCAAAGTTAAAATAATCTAACATTTATTGAATACTTACAAGGTATGGGCTAGAATGATTTAAAGAATCCCAGTTAAATGAATATCATTGTATGGTCAGACTCTGGTCTACATCATACAATTATTTACAACGATTTTTATGTATCATAAGAGGGTGTGCTGACAAAGCTGAGGGAACAACAGGGATTGGTTCTGCATTTTACTTAGTTGTGTAGGTTAATCTACTGGGTCTATGTCCTGGCCATTGAACCACACTAACAATGCTTATTGAACCACACTAACAATGCTTTGTTAAAGTTGAATGCAAATTGTGCAAAAACACACATTCACATTTTTATCTGTATTTCTACATTGCAGGTTAATTCATTTAGGAAGATGCTCTTTGAATAAAGTTTCATGTGTATTACCTACAGTTAATTTCTGTAAAGTGTTAAATATTTAGATAATTAGGTGTTCTCAGATAATGCTTTTCAGCCTGGGTGGTTTGGGGTGGTAGTTGTTTCAAAATTATTTAAAATACTGTACCCTGCCTTTTGGCGCTCACAGTCAAGGAAACTGTGGCATTTATAAAATGGCAGTCTCTTGTTTATCGGAGTAAAGACATCTGCCAAGGGCAAACTGCAGAAAGCACACTGCTGCACCTCTGGTTACATTTTGAATGACCTTCACACCTGCTTAATTTCTTTTAAATTTGATGATAAGAAAACAAAACTAAAACCTCACAGCTCTCAGTTTATTTCCCTAACTGGTTGTGATAATTTTACATTCCTTAACAGCTACTATAAACAGCAGCAAACATGATCCATGCTCTTGAAAAAAAGTAAATGGCAGTATTCATTAAGAATATATTTATAGTGCGTTTACATGCAGTCAAAACAGAAGGGGGTGCATCAGTATTTTACCTTTCTGACACATTACTTTGGCTCAGATAAAACATTCCGTCTCTGCCTTCAGTGGCCCATTTAGCATTACCATTTTTGTGACTATATGTACGCACATTACAAAAAAAAGCAAGAAATAAATCAGCATGCTATTTTGTTCGGTGCAGCACTAGGTATCTGATTTACTGAGGCAGGGCCACAAAGCGGAATTTCGTTGTGTTCTGGGAGCCCAGCTGTGATAGCTGCTTGTCTTCACCTTCTTATTATGGACTCTCCTTGAGGTGAGGAAAAGGCTAAGTTTCATCGCGGTCCCCAGGGTACAGTGCCACCCCGGTACCACGTGGGTCAGAGGTACCGGGGTGGCATGGTGCTGGTCCTGTGCTGCTAAAAGCCTCCTAAGAGGGTGGGCATGGGCTCCGGCTTAGTTCTGGGAAAAGGTATTGTCTCTAACTGGGAGCTTACAGGAAGGTGACCTGCGGGACATAGGCAGCCGCCCAAAGAACCATTTGGTTGGGTAGGCCGACAGCTGCAGGGGACCACAGCCTTCGTCGCGCATAAGCCCTTCTCCAGACTCTGGAGCCGGCCTTCCCACCCCCAAACAACGGCGCGTGCGCCCCGCCCTCCCCCCTGCGCGCGCTCCCTCCTTCTCCACGCGCACTCCCCAACACCCGCAACCCCGCTCCTGCCCGCGCGCGCCCCGCCCTCCCCGCGGCGCGCCCCGCCCTCCCGCCCGCCCCGCGCGCCGGCTGGCCGAGGAGTGCGGTGGGCGGGGCGCCGCGCTGACGTTGCCCGGGATGCGGGCAGGTTCCGCCGCCGCCTCCTCTTCTGCCACCGGGGTTTGTATGAAAACACCCGGCGGCGGGCGGTGAGGCATCCGCCGGGCCTCCGGAGAGCAGCGGCCCGCGCTGCCGACGCCGAGCCGGGTGCTGCACCTTTACCCAGTCCCTGCCAGCGCCGCATCCTGAGCCGGTGAGCGCCCTGCCGCCGTCAGCGCGTCCGGGCCGGCAGCCCCTCGGCTGCGGCTAGCCCGCCCGCCACCCCTCCTATCTTCTCATCTGCGGCTTCCTGGGGGCTGGGGAGGCCGGGGAGGAGCGACCCGGGGCCCGCCCCGGTCTGCGTCCTGCGATCCCCCCGCCCCTTACCTGTCAGGTTGTGTAACCCGTGTCTTTCGGGGGGTGGACCGGGTCTTGAGGGGAACCCCTGATGGGTGGGGCCTTTGGCCGGTTTCTGGAAAACGCCCCGCCCCCACCCATGGAGGCTCGGTCGTCCCCGCTCCAGTCCCCGCGGAGGCTGCCCGGCGCGGTCTCCGGGCAGAGACGGACCCCTGCACTGCTCTCTCTTTCTCTCGGTGGTGATCGCGCGGGTGGCTGCGGTACAGCGCGGAGCGGAGCCCAGGGGCGGCAGGCAGGGGCCGGGCGCGCACCCCGCCTCCCCAGTCGCCCCAGCTCCCAGCCCCTAGGTGCGCCGGGCTTCAGGGTGGGCTGTGGTGTGACGTCGGCGATGGCTGGGCTTGCTCCCTCTCAGTGGGTAGCTTGGCCTGAAGTGTGTTCTCTGCTTACAACTTGGCGCCCTGTGGGTTTGATTTGAACCTGAATCAGATCGCCCTAGATGACAGTGCAGAGTTTCCCTCCAGCCTTCCTTCCTGAGTTGCGGGTTCTTCATGCAAGTGTTCAGGGACTCCTGCAACCCAACGCAAAGGCTTGCTGGGCTCAATGGTTGTTTCCCTCCTGTACCTTTAAGTCTCTTAAAGTACCAGTGCAGTTTTGAATTGGTTCGTTTCCTTTCCTGGGCATTTACTCATCACAGAATAGAGTTTTACACATCGTTGTGAATGTTGATAACTTAAAGCCCATTTCTCATTTTAAGATAGCTTCCTCAAGTGCTTGCAGGTCTAGCACTGCCGATGACCTAATATGTTGTAAGACTCAGTCGAAATTTTCTTTGGCGATATTAATTCTGTGTGGTTTTTTTTTCAGGTATTCAAAATTGTAGCAGTGTTTATGATATACGACAGTTTGTAGGTAGAAGGGATTTTAACAGTCTTCTGGATCACTCATTTTCACTTACCATTTATGTTCTTGTTGGAATCTTTTTTTTTTTTTTTTTTGCTGTACGCGGGCCTCTCACTGTTGTGGCCTCTCCTGCTGCGGAGCACAGGCTCCGGACGCGCAGGCTCAGCGGCCATGGCTCACGGGCCCAGCCGCTCCGCGGCATGTGGGATCCTCCTGGACCGGGGCACGAACCCGTGTCCCCTGCATCGGCAGGCGGACTCTCAACCACTGCGCCACCAGGGAAGCCCTATGGTACATAGTTTAAAACGTGTGCCAAATGTTAAAATCAAACAAAACCCTGAAAGATCTGTAAGCATTTTCTTATGTAATTACTGTGAGATAGTTAGCAGTGCCTTATCCACTCCTTATTTCTCATCCTTAAGGCTGAGTTGTAACATGACTTGTTCTGTTTCCCATTCCACTTTGCTTGAATTAATTTCTACAGTGAAGTTATAGGTTCATTTTTTAAAAAAATTATTTATTTTATTTTTGGCTGCATTGGGTCTTTGTTGCTGTGCGAGGGCTTTCTCTAGTTGCGGTGAGCGGGGGCTACTCTTCGTTGCGGTGCGAGGGCTTCTCATTGCGGTGGCTTCTCTTGTTGCAGAGCACGGGCTCTAGGCGCGGGCTTCAGTAGTTGTGGCGGATTCTTAACCACTGTGCCACCAGGGAAGCCCTAGGTTCATTTTTAATGACCTCAAAACTCTGCCTTGAATTGCTTCAGCATATACTTAGAACTGCAGTCTCACTCTGAACACTGAAATGAAAAGTATAGACAGAGCTACCCTTGTAATTAGCCACATTGCAAAATATTTAAATGTATAGTGTAATCTGAACTTCTGTAAATGCAGTTTTTATAAAGCTTTTTTAGTTGACTTGAATTGAGGCATTATTCTCTTTGGAGTAGTCTAGCTAGATTCTTATATAATAACGGTTTTATTTTCAATAGTGGAAGAAAAAGAGGTCCAAGACGTATGAAATCATCTAATTTGTATCATATTCTATATCTTGGACAAAAAAAAAAATCTCTTTCACAGTTTCACCTTCCAAAATCTACTTTTCTTGCTCAAAGCCCCTTAATACCTGGACGTTGAACAGTGCATGGGTAGTAATGGATGACCTGTCAGAGGGCTCTCTGCAAATTGGGAGCTTCTCTTAGGCAGTAGGTCTCAGTGTAAACAACAGAAATTGTCAACAGTGGACACTGAATTTAAACTTTATATATTATTGTTGGTTACTGTGCCTCTGTGTACTACAGTGTAGTGGCTAAGGGGCTGGGCCTCAGAGCCAGACAGGCTGGATTTGAATCCTGGCTTTGCTTTGAGCAAGTTATTTATCTTCTTTGTGCTTCAATTTTCTCAACTCCAAAAATGGAGATAATTATGGTGTATACTCTTAAGATGATCTTGAATATTAAATGAGTTAATACATATAAAGTGCTTAGCCCACAATGCCTGGCACATAGTAAATGCTCAGTAAATATTGCTAGTGTTTTTCCTCAGTGCAAGGGATCTAGTAAGCCGAAAAGGGGCTTTGGGCTGATCGAGCACTGTTATTCCAGATTAATTCCACGATGACCCATTTGCTCTTTTGGGGCTAAGTGAGAGCTTAGTGTTACTGTCCTGGCTTGGAAGCATGTAATTTATTTAGTTTAGAACAGCTAGACCCTGAGCTGGGTGCCCTGAGATGCTGCCGGAGAGTGGCTGTAGTATCCCTGTTTGTCCCTTCTGACAGAACCTTGGATTGTCTCCCTCATGGTGGTGGTGGCTGCTATTTTAATCACCTGTTTTTGAGTTTGTGATTGCATGTTTCTTTGGCTGTCATGTGCAGCTATCAAAAATATTATCTATCAAACTATTAATGGATATATTTATGTGTTTATCTGATCAAGATATTGCATGTTTCCAGGATATACAAAATCACTTTCATCTAAGCGTTCTTTTTTTTTTTTAATTCTGTATTGATGTTACTTAGAATGAGGTTAATTTTGATTTGCCATTGTGTTCCTTTTCAGTTTTCATGTAATTTTCCTAGGAAAACTAAAAAAAAAGTTTTTAAAATGTACTTCTTGTTCTTTTTGGTTTGCAGGGATCTGATATTAATACTTTGTTCTTTACATCAGGTGCTTTCAAATGTTTGGTCTAAGGACCCTTTTATACTCTTAAAAAATTATTGAGCACCACAAAAAGCTTTTGTGGATTATATATTATAAATTAAAGCAAAGATGCAAAATTTTTATTAATTCACTTAAAATGATAATTATAAACCCATTACATGTTAATATAAACATTTTTTTTAGTGAAAGATGACTATTTTTCAAGAATAAATAAAGGAGTGAGAAGACTGGCGTTCTAGATTTTGTAAATCTCTAATGTCTGGTTTAATAGAAACAGCTGGATTGTCATATCTGCTTCTGCATTCAGTCTATTGCAATATATTGTTTGGGTTGAAGTATATATACAGAGAGAAATCCAGCCTTACACAGTTAATGGCTGAAAAAGGAAGGGATATTTTGATAGCCTCCAGATAATTATGGATATACTTGTTTGGTACTACATCAAAACTCAGCATATGACAGTTTTTAGTTAGTTATATAAAGGTTTGGAATGAACCTCCCCAAAATGTGCCACTTTTGAGTGTGGATTATTTTGAGCTAAAGGCAGTTGAGAAACTGCCTGTTCAAGGGAAACTACTGCCCCTTCCTTAACTACCTAGAAGAATTTAAATTGGGGATTTTTCCCAGAAAAAGAGTTATTACCAGCGATAAATTTTATCCTAGTGGCCTCATCTATATGGCAGACAAACATCGTATTGTCAAACATCTGCTCTTCTTTTTTTTTTTTTTTTTTTTTTTTTTTTGGAATTTAGTAATTTATTTATTTATTTTGGCTGTGTTGGGTCTTCGTTTCTGTGCGAGGGCTTTCTCTAGTTGCAGCGAGCCGGGGCCACTCTTCATCGCGTTGCGCGGGCCTCTCACTATCGCAGCCTCTCTTGGTGCGGAGCACAGGCTCCAGACGCGCAGGCTCAGTAGTTGTGGCTCACGGGCCTAGTTGCTCCGCGGCATGTGGGATCTTCCCAGACCAGGTCTCGAACCCGTGCCCCCTGCATCGGCAGGCAGATTCTCAACCACTGCGCCACCAGGGAAGCCCCATCTGCTCTTCTTATTGTCCTGTGAATGACCTTAGTTCTTGGAAGCCCCAGGCCCCTATCCCATTCTGTAGCTCAGGATGACACACACTTCATTTTACCTTTCTGTCTTTGAAACTCTGATGTATGTAGGATCTGTGACCCCTCATGTGGTTGGGATTCCCATACATATGAATTAAATTTGCTTTTCTCCTGTTAATCTGTCTCATGCCAATTTAATTCTTAGACCAGCCAGAATAACCTAGAAGAAGGGTAGAGGAAAGTTTTCTTCCTCCCTGACAGTTGCAGTATGGAATCTGAAATCATAACATTGGACTTTTTAATAATGTTATGTTAAAATCTGTTGGTCTGAACTTAGAGTGGACCTAATGCCCATGCCTGAATTTATAACATCATGCCCTGGTCATTTGTTACCTGGTCAGTGAGTTACTTTTCATTACAAAATATTAAAAAATAATGTTTGTTAATATCAATATCACCACCTATTCCATCAGAAACAAGTTATTGGGAAGCTGTCCCAGTTGTGACATGATGGTGGTTATGAGTTTTCCAAAAATCTGATTTTTGCTTGAAAGCTCAAATTTTATCATTGGCAACAAATATGATTGTCAGTTGTTTCCTGTAAGTGACAAATAGACTTCATTCATTTCTGAGCAAACCTCTGCCAAAATACCTAAATCATTCTTTTAAGTAAAGGTGGTGTTTAATGAAAAAGGCTAATTCAAGCTCTCAGTTCAGTTACAGAAGCACTTTTCCTTGAGACAGCTGTCAAGC